TTTTTATAGAGATACAAAGAAATCTACTTTTTTGGGTGTTTTTCTTCTCCTATTTTTTATAGAAATTGAACCGAACACCCTTAAGGTAAGATGTTAGAAACAATATAGTCTAAGTAGAGGATTTTTCTTTTTAGGTTTCTCCTTTCTAGGAAACAGCTTAAAATAAGATAATAATACAGAAACCACTTTTTAATGTTAATTTATATGTGAATTTTTTTTAAAGTATGTTTTTGTTGCAATCAACCACTTTTGAGTCAAATTTTCGCTAAAAAAGTAATCAACCACATCCTAATCAAATAACATTGCTCAAGGCACGCAACTTATATCCGAAGTGGAGATAAACATTATCAAAATGAATCACCATGACTTATATGTGAGTTTTTAAATATATTTTTGATGTTTTAGTGAAAATTTTGGCTAGGAGGAGGTTGATTGCTGTACAAACCCACTTTAAAGATGATTTATGTATAACTTAACATTCAAATATGGTTCTTATATAATTACCTTATTAAAAGATGGTTTCTAGAAAGAATTCTTTCATTTATTGGGTAAGTTAACAAGAACATGAAAGACTGTTAAACTGTCTATCAAAATGAACTTGGTACAATCATTGCTGAAAAGTAATCAGTAGGATCACAACTTGCGTTGCAGTATTAGTTTTTTTAGTGGAATTAGGTTGATAAGAACACGGGAGAGATCCTGTGGGTTTTCAAGTGGGTACATCAAAGTTCGTTAGTGGTAAACTTGTTAGAGGGAGGGGTTTTCAAGTGGGGTGAACTTCTAGTCCTTGAGTAAAAACGTGTCACATAACATCACTTTTCTCAAACTAGATCTACTCTTGCTATAATATAATAAAGCTGAAGATATTGTTAATAAGTGATTATATATATTGCTAATCAATACAAACCTAAACATGACCCTTTAGAGGTTGTCTGGAAAAAGCTTATTTTCAATCCCTTTATAAAGCTATGGTGGCTTTATGTGTTTTTTGACTTTTATACGAAAAAATTGTATGGATAGAAAAATCCTTTGCTTGGTCACGCATTGGTTTACTAGGTGAACTTAGGGGTGTCCAAAAAGCCCGGAGCCCGGGCCTGGCCCGGTGTCCGGCCCGGGCCCGGCCCGGTCGTGCCCGGGCCCGGAAACCTGGGCAAAACCCGGGTCCGGGCCCGAGCCCGGGTCGCCGTTGACGAGCCCTGTCCAGGCCCGGCCCGGGCCCGGAACAGTGCCCAAATTGGGCACTGGGGCTTCGAATGGCCGGGCCGGGCCGGGCTGGCCCGGCCCGGCTCGGGTCAAATCTGGCCTAACGGCCAGATTTGATCTTTTGACCGTTTTGCCCCTTAAAACGGTTAAAAAATGGCTATTTTTCGAGGGTTTTTTGGTCATTTACCTAGGGGGCTGCTTCTATAAATAGAGGGGGTGGGGGTTTCAATTCATTTCCTCACAACAAAACTCATCTATTTCTCTCTCTACTACTCTCTTATACCATCTCATACTAATATACTATCCTATAATCTTTTGTATTTTCTAATACTTCCAACAAATGGCTTCCGGGTCTGATTATGAAGAGCAACATGCATCTCCTACTGATCCAGAGATGAGTCCTCCTACAACAACTCCTCATCCTACCTGTGTTAATCCTGAATCTGGTGGCGACGAATCTACGGCACCAAGAGCTCCAAAAAGGCCGAGGTCTGATGTATGGAATTTTTTTGAGAAGATAGACGTAACCAAGGATGAACACGGTAGGACCATCTCTCAGAATGCGAAATGTGCGTTGTGCGGCCAGATATTCAAAGCTCATCATAAGAGCGGCACCAACCATCTCAAACGGCATATTAAAAACACAACAAAGTCCAAAATCTACAAGGTGATATCCGGCAGTCTATGCTTTCCCAATCATCCTCTTCAGGTACCCTCGGCAGTTGGAATTATGACGCTGCCCGAGCCCGAAAATGCGTAATCAGCTTTATTGTTCTTAAAAACCTTCCTTTTAAATTAGTAGAAGATGATGAATTTGAAGATATGTTTAGAGATGGTTTTTATCCTGCATTTACAAAATTTTCTCGTCAAACCTGTCAACGTGATATTTTAAAATATTATGTTGAGGAACAGGGAAAAATAATTTCTTATTTTAAAAATTTAAACTGCAAATTTTCTTTAACTTCTGATATTTGGTCATCTAGAGTGCAAACTGGTTATTTATGTATAACAGCACACTGGATTGATGAAAGTTGGAAAATGTTTAAAAGAGTTGTTTCTTTTATTGCAATTGAAGAGTCACACACTGGTATTAATGTTGCAAATTTAATTGTTGAAGAACTTACGAAACTAGAAATTGATCAAAGAATATTTACTCTTTCACTAGATAATGCAAGTAATAATAATGTAGCTGTTGATTTTCTGAAAATAACTTTGTCATTGCCATGTCATGGTGAGCTTTTTCATGTTAGATGTATCTGTCATATTTTAAATTTAATTGTTCAAAGTGTATTTTCTGAAATTAAACCCATGATAGAAAAAGTTAGAACAGTTGCTAATATGCATAATGCTTCTGAAATGAGAATTAAAAGATGGAAACAATGTTGTAAAAGAAAAAATTATAAGCCTAGACTAATTCCAAAAGATGTTGACCATAGGTGGAATTCCACCTATGCAATGTTATCTGTAGCAATAGAATATAAAGAAATTATAAATGATTTTATAAATTTTTATGCTTCTAGTTCTAGCTCTGGTAGTGCTTATGGAATAACTGAAGATGAATGGACAGTTATATGTAAATTAAATGAGATGTTACAAGTTTTTTATGATGCTACTATGTTATTATCTGGTTGTTATTATCCAACTATTACTTTAGCTGCTTTACAAATTTTAAATATTCAAAAATTTTTTGCAAAATATCGTATGGATGATACTTTTGGAAATATAATTTTTCAAATGGAGAGTAAATTTAATAAGTATTTTAGGCCTATTCCTCATATTTTTGGTATTGGTGTTCTTATTGATCCATGCTTGAAGGATATTGGCCTTCGAAGTTTGTTACAATCATTGTATGGTGGACAGATTATAGACTTAGATGATGGATCCACCCTTACTGGTACTACTCATCATTTAGCTATTAGAAATTATTTTCAAACCTTATATGATGAGTATGCAGCTAGATATGGTGTAGCTACACAACAGTCTTCAGCTTCGGCACCTTCAGCTTCGAGCACAGGTCGAGGTAAAAGTGTAAGTTTTGATAGGTATGCAATGGTAGCTGAACTAACTGGTGGATCTGGAACTTCATCAGGATTAGAGGTTTCTGAAATAGATGAATATTTATCTGCTTCCTTAGTTAAATGTCAAGGAAATGCTTTAGATATTTTGCAATGGTGGAAAGTATATGGATCAGTTTCATATCCTATACTTTCCACCATGGTTCGTGACTTACTATCAGTGCAGGTTTCGACTGTAGCCTCGGAATCCGCTTTCAGCACAGCAGGACGTTTGATCGACGACCACAGGACATGCTTAGATCCGTATACTGTACAAGCGGTGATGTGCTTACAGGATTGGTGGAGATACGAGAAGCGAACACAAAGCATCGAACGGATTGCTATGATTGAAGATAAATTTGAAGAGTTGGGACTAGCAGATAGATATAATGATTAGATAATATTCATAAAATTATAATTTTTATTTCTTAGCTTTAAATCTGAATTAAATTATTTCGAAAAAAGTTACAAATGATAATGATATGGGTGAGTAGGTGCCAACCCAGTTGGGATGTACTCATCTCTTGTGATGCGACGAATTTCGAAATAAATTTATACTTGTAAAGGATTTACCGATTATTAATAAAGAAGTTATTTTTATCATTTTTTGTACTTGTAATTTATGTCATTTCATTTCAAGTTATTAATTAAATTTATGACATTTTTTATAATAATTTATGATTTATGGTTTTGTTAAAATTTTAAAAAAAATAAAAATAAAATAAAATTTAAAAAAAAAAAATCAAACCGGGCCGGCCCGGTGTCCGGCCCGCTCAGGCCCGGGCCCGGCCCGGACCACCCGGGCCCAGGTCCGGGCTTGGGTTTTGCCCGGCCCGGGCCCGGTTTCCTGAGCCGGGCCGGGCCGGATGGACAACCCTAGGTGAACTTATAAGCTAATTCTTCATGAGTCGGAGAATCCTAACTTTTTAAAATGACTTGAAAAGTAGTTTAATTGGAAATTTACCAAACATTAGTGAACCTTGAAAAATTTTAGCATTTTGCAGTAAGCCGCTAATAACTTTCATAATCACACCATACTTCTAAGAACTTTTAGCATTTTATAGTAGACCCCTAATAACTTTCAAAACCACACCAAACCCCCAATAATTTTTGGAGCTATAAAAAATTCCCAATAATGTTGTGTTTTGCAGATAACCCTCATAAGTAAATACTTAAAAAAAAAGATAAAAAAGGCGTTGAAGGACAATTTCATAAAAAACAAAAAAGAATCATTGCTATATGGGACCCCAACCTGGACGCGAGCAAGAGGAGTACAAAATGACAAAATACGAGATTTTTTTGTGCTTAGGGTTGTAAATATAAGAACATTGAGAGATTTTTTTTTTAATAATTTAACGGATTTTTAAGTCTTTTTAAGTCACAAGAGTTGCACCTGCCAAACTAGAGGTAACAATGTTAACTTTAAGTGTTTTTTTTTGCAAAAGTTATGATGAGTTTAGTGTGATTTTAAAGTTATTAGGGATTAACATCGCTGAAAGTTGTTGGGAGGTTAGTGTACTTTTGAAAGTTAGTGGAGGTTTATTGCAAAACACTGAAATTTGCAAATACGATAAACTCGGGGGGCGTATATATGCAAAAAGCCTTCCCTTCAGTGTAGTTGGTTCTCATCATTCCTACAGAAATTCCAGCTCACCGATCCGTGTGACTTCCATTTTGCACAAAATCCAAGTGATCTCAGCCGTTGGTTATCAGCTCACATCACTCTATCCAAAACACAAAGTCTCCCTTTTTTTCTTACACTTTCACGCACTCTCCCCACCCCTTAAAAATCCCCAAATCAAAACCCTAAAAATTTCAAAACGAAAAATCAAAGGAAATCAAGATGGCCGTAGTAGCTTCAGCCACTCCCAACGCCACCCCACCCAAAGCCCAAAACCACCCGCCTTACAAAGAGGTGAAATTTCCATCCTCATCTCGCATTTACTTTTTTATTTATTTAATTTCTATTCCGTTCTGAGCTTAAAATCTATTGTTGAGGTGTGAATTTGAGAACCCGTTTCTTTTTTGTCTTCGTCTTTATTTTGTTAACCTAGTTTCTTGTTTGTTTGTAATTAAAATGGAGTTGAATGGGAAAAATTATGCTGTGTTGTTCCAACTTGTTGTTTGGTTGTTGTAATATGCTATGGAAGTGAAATGAGGAAAAACCCATTTTTCTTTTTGTATTTTTATGCTTAATTTATATTTAATTTGGTGTTTGTTGAGGCAAATTCGAAGCATTAATAGATTGTAGAAGTAAGGATAAGTGATGCTAGGTTTTCCTCTTTTGTTGCTTGGTTGCCTTCAGCCCTACTGAAGTGCGCATGATGATAGCCCCCTTGAATTTTTTGGGGGGCTTTTGCCATTTAGTTCTATGCAATCCAACATACCCAAAAAAGTGAAATCGATTAGCATTTTTGTTCCATGTACTGAATTATTTTTAATTTTTAAGTTTATTTTTCTGGGGTTGAAGTGAAAAAAAGGTCAATTGCACTTCAATAACGCAAGGTTTACCCCAGAAAAAAAAAGAAACCCTCTAAACCTCAACAAATCTAACTTTAATACCGCCATTATCAATAGTTGCTATAGTCAAAGGAGATTACATAGAGCAGTTTTGACAATTATTATGATCGAAGGAGACTACGGAGAGCTATTTCAGCAACTTTGGGACTATGCAAACATCATAAAAGTAATGCTTGGGGTAATGAGGACGCATAACTTAAAATATCAGAAGAAGAAAATTGTTGGTGGCAAGCGGAACGTAGATTTATGTTCTAAGATACAAGCTAAGTTACAAGAGTTTGAATGAGAACTGTACTTTGAATCTATTTGTAGTCATCTTCAACTTACGGGGGGTTACCAAAGATAAACTTTCTTCCACTTTTGGGTGGTTTATGGGGAGGAATTTTGCGTTATCAAAGTTAAAACTGGGGTAAATATTGGGTGTTTAAGTGCGACTACCCTAAAATAAATGAAATATTTTGGAATTCTCTTATGAATTCTCTAATTTAGCTTTTTCTTTTACAACTCTCCTTTATTTATTCTTACTCCTTTAAAGAGAAAAAGGGAAGTAAAAGAAGCAATTTAATGGAAGTGATCATGAATTCATTGAACTTTATTTTCCCCTCTCACAGATGATAGTGAGGGCAATTCAATCACTGAAGGAACGGAAGGGATCAAGCAAGAAAGCAATTGCCAAGTACATTGCATCCAACTATGATAACTTACCTTCTAAACACAATGCATTGCTTTCTCATCACCTCGGCCGCCTCAAGAAGGATGTGGTTCTTCAAATGGTGGGAAAATCTTACAAGCTTTCTAAATTCGGTGAAGCTCTACATATTGTCAATAACAATGTGACCAGTGGTCCCAAGAAGAGGGGCCGACCGAGAAAGTTTCCAGCCCAAGAAGGAATTGGTTCCCAAAGTGAGAAAAGGAAACCAGGTCGACCCAGGAAAAAGTTATCCACAACAGAGCTCCTCTTGCCAAGAACCATGAAGTCAATGGTAATGGTCGGAAAGAGAAAGCGTGGTCGTCCAAGGAAAGGGTCATCACCTGTTAAGCTGAAACCTACCACTGAAAATACATTGGGTGAGAAAGGAAAGCGAGGTCGGCCAAAGAAACTTGGTTCTGCCTTGTCATTGAGTGAGAAAAAAATGCGAGGTCGTCCAAAGAAACTTGCTTCTGCATTACCATTAAGTGAGAATAAGAAGCGAGGTCGGCCAAAGAAACTATCTTCTGAATCAGTATTGCTTTTAAAGTGGAAGCCAGGTCGTCCCAAAAAACTTGATTCAGCCTTGAAATCGAGTGGGAGTAAGAAGCGAGGTCGACCAAGGAAACTTTCATCTGACTCATCGGTTGAGAAGAAGAAGCCAGGTCGGCCCAAAAAACTTGCTTCAGCCTTGAAATTGAGTGGGAGTAAGAAGCGAGGTCGGCCGAGGAAATTTTCATCTGACCCAGTATCTGTTAAGAAGAGGAAGCCCGGTCGGCCCAAGAAAGAGAAGAGGAAACCAGGTCGACCAAAGAAAGAATCTTTAACTCCGAAGCTCGCTTCTGCCTCATCGGGTGAGAAAAGAAAACGAGGTCGCCCATCAAAAAGTGACTCTATTCCCGTTAAGCCAAAAATTTCGACAGTGTTGGCATCTGGTGAGAAAAGAAAGCGAGGTCGGCCAAAGAAAGAGTCTGCAAGCGCCCAGCTTGCTGCTGCATCAGGTTCGGGTGAGAAAAGAAAGCGAGGACGGCCAAAGAAAGTTCCAGTTGCAGTTTTGGATGGTGCAAGTGATAGCGTTCCAGCAGGGGATGGTGCAAGCGATAGCGTTCTAGCAGGGGATGGTGCAAGCGATAGCGTTCCAGCAAAGGTTGAAGCTCCAATGTCTGAAGATGCCAGGTAATGTTTCAAACTCTTCTGTAGATGGCGGGCTTTATGTTCTATAATCTCTTTAGTCTTTACTGCTTCCATTAACTTTGAAATGATTTTTAGAGGCGGGAACTGAATTAGAATTAGTTGTGAGGCATGTTGTATGTTAACTTGTAGCTTGGCTGAATCAAACAATCTGCAGACGCAAATTTGTGCTTTTATGTGACCTTCTTATGCAAGTTAGTGCCAGTTTCAGGGATGAAAGGTTTTCTTTGGTGGTTATGTGATAGATAGTATTGTTACGCGCAAGTTGTATTGTGCTGCATGTTTTATAATCCATTTGAAGGTATCTTTTGGAATGTCTCATATTATTCTCTAGCTTTCCATATTCTTGGAGCTTTGAGCTTTGACACGTTTTTTTAACAATTATTGGTAGAGATCTTGTGGAAATTTATCAATTGTTTTATATTAGGCCGCGTTTACCATTGTTGTTAGACATGCCGGATTTCTTACTTCCTTCGATGAAGTTGATTCTTTATTTCAGTTATTTTCATTCTTTGCTTCTATCATATTTTTATTTTTAATATATATGTAATACAGTAGTCAACAAAAAGTCATCTCTGAGCAAATTAATGATCAGAGTTGGGATTTGCATTGGTTATCTCGGTCATTTCTGACTTTCTTCGATGAAGTTGATTCTTAATTTCTGTTAGGGGCTGTTTGGTTCGCTATTATAAGGGGTGGAAAACTCAGAAAACCCCTTCACTTCAGATTTTTAGCCCTCCACGTCAGCTTTTTTGTTTCCGTCCATTTCTTTGTGCCGCTTTGGTTCGCTCGTTTGTTTCCGTCCATTTCTTTGTGCCGCTTTGGTTCGCTCGAATGGAAGAGGGAAAACTTTGCTGAAATCGCCGCCAACTAAGTGCCGCTTTGGTTCGCTCGAATGGAAGAGGGAAAACTTTGCTGAAATCGCCGCCAACTAAGATTTTTTCCCCTCTTCGATTTCCTTTCCCAACCAAGTGAAATTGATGAAAACTCTACCACATCAGATTTTTTTTCCTTCTTTGCTTTGTTTACAAAAGTTTTCCTTTTTTTTTCTATGCGAACCAAACACAAGAAAAGTAAATACATTGGTTTCTCACCATTTTTTATGTGCGAACCAAAGCAAAACAATCTATTTCTTGGAAAAGTTTGAAAAACTCAAAACTTGTGTTTTTTTACATGGAATTGTATTTCTCTATATCAAGGAAACGAACCAAACAGCCCCTTAGTTTCGTTCTGTGCTTCTATCATATTTTTAATTGTAATATTGTAATACAATGATCAACAAAAAGTAATCTCCGAACAAATTAATGATCAGGGTTGTATATCAAGGAAACGAACCAAACAGCCCCTTAGTTTCGTTCTGTGCTTCTATCATATTTTTAATTGTAATATTGTAATACAATGATCAACAAAAAGTAATCTCCGAACAAATTAATGATCAGGGTTGGGCAGTGGTTATCTTTGAGTCCTCTCATCAGGGGTTCACACGCTTAAAAATATGCAACGTGATTATTTCGAGGTTGCCTCAGAAACTGTGTACATGGATCACTTGTGATTACAACCAATTCAATCTTTGGTTTTTTGTATTTGCACATTTTCTTCTTCAGAAACAATTTATACACACATATAATGAGCCTCAACATGAATAACATAAGAATTATTATAGAAACTTATAGCAACTAAATGTAGACATGAATATTATTTTGAATAAAAGAGTTGTCTTGGACCGAGTCAGGAAATTGATACACCATGTCTTGCTCTTTAATCTCTTATGCTTCAATAATGCACTTGACTTGGCACCTCGATGTTCCTTACACATCATCATATGCACTTTGATTCTATGTTACACGACGGTCAGAATGCTAACCATCTTTGCCACTTAATTATGTGACAAGGATTAAGTTAGTAGTCAATTGGCAAACTCGTGGATTTAAGAGAAATTAACAGGTTAGCTGCTAGCATAAGTAGAGACCACAGAGTTGCATAAGGCAGTAAACAATTGATGAATGGTAGAACAAAACCTTGGGCAAATGGAAGTGTGGGCATGTGGATACAACAAATAAAGACGCAAATAAAAAAGCGTTGCTACGTAAAAAAGAGCTCCCTTATCGCAGGACCTTAATTTCATGTCATAGGTTGTAAATAGTAAGTACTAGTAATAATATATATTCCCCAACAATTTATTTACGAGCTTATGATATTTATTCCCCAAGAGTTACTCACGAGTTACACAATTGCACAAAAGACTTGCAAAGATCGAAAAGTATCATGAACGATTTTATATCTCATTGTCGGAAAATGTTGTGAGATAATCATACCTTCCTTACCTTTATGAATACATAGCTATAGTTTGCAAAAAAAACCTGTTTGGTAGAAAAAAATGTATATGATTTCAATGTTAAATCTTTTTAATTGTTGTGGATGAGGTAGAAAAGCTTTACAATCCAACATGGGCTTAATTTCTAACAAGCTTAGCATCCTCGTTTGTATGATCATATTTATTTTTAGTAAAATTTTTATCACAAAAAAGGACTTACGTTCTTTTGGTGCTAGATTATAAGCTCTAACCAACTGGCGGATGACTTATTAAGATTCACGGACAAATTTTCAAAACCATCTCCTTTTAAAATTTATTTATAAAAAACGACCCATTTCAACCTTAATTTCAAAAACCGACCCAGTTGGTTGAAACTGGGTCGGTTTTTGAAAAAAAAAATTTCAAACTTCACGGGAGTTGAACTCCCGTGAAGTTTTGTTATGAGAAAAAACTTCACGGGAGTTCAACTCCCGTGAAGTTTGAAATTTTTTTTTTCAAAAACCGACCCAGTTTCAACCAACTGGGTCGGTTTTTGAAATTAAGGTTGAAATGAGTCGTGGTCGGTTTTTGAAAAAAAAAATTTCAAACTTCACGGGAGTTGAACTCCCGTGAAGTTTTGTTATGAGAAAAAACTTCACGGGAGTTCAACTCCCGTGAAGTTTGAATTTTTTTTTTTAAAACAGACCTAGTTTCATCTAACTAGGTCTGTTTTTGTAATTAAGGTTGAAAAGGGACTTTTTTTGGGAATAAATTTCAAAACCGGATGGTTTTAAAAATTTGTCCTAAGATTCACATCTCTCTGTATCCTTATTAGTTGCCTTAAGCAACAACAAAAAAAAAAGGAACAAGAGTACTTTTAATTATGTTTTAGTATCTCAATGTCACTATCTCATCTTCATAATGTGGGCCTGTGTAATGTAGGTTTAATTTCGACCTAGTTGGTCTAGGCTTCTAGCTATGTGCATTCATTATGTTACTAATGATACTAGTGAAGGCTGATGATTGAATAATTAGGTGTGTTTGGTAATAATGGTGATTTTTTTGTTATGTTTTTGTAGAAAAACATCATGCCATGGTGTTTCTTTTTCGAAAGTGTTTTGAAAACACCATTTATAGTTATTATTATATAGCGGCGCCGACAGCGGCGGGGGGGGGCGGCCGGCGACGGGCGGGTGGCAACGGCGGTGGAGCGGGCGGCGACTTAGATGAAAAAACAGAATCTCAAAACACCTTTTTGGTGTTTTGAGAAAAGTGTTTAATTTTTGGATTTTGTAAAGGGCCAAGTCAAAAAAACGCCACGGTTGCCAAACGCGTTTAATTGTTTTTTTGAAAAAAAAAAACAGAAATGGCAAAAACGTCACGGTTGCCAAACGCTAATGAACCAGGACACTTTTTTTTAATAAAAAGTTACTGTTCCGCCTTACTGCCCCAGATTGCTTGTGTTATTTTCAAGGAGACCTTTGATTCTTATTGAACGGTAGCTTGCACATGCCTTATCGCCCGCCCCACATTGCTTTCTCTTTGTATATTATAATATCGACTTTCGATGAACATTCACCCTTATTTTCGACATTTAGACCTGTCTTTTTCTGATTTATCTGTATAACTTTCAATGTTTATCCTTGTTTTTTTTACTTGAAGAGAGTTCATTTTTCCTTTGGATGTTTAGGTGCTCCCATTCTAAGTATCAAAGAGTTGGGTGTCTTAAATCTTGTTGCTTGCATTTATATCTTCCTGGATTTTAATATGTTTTACCATCTAAGAATAGGGGAAACTATACTATTTCTTTTCCCTTGACCAGCCCATCTGATACTCTCTCTCTTTCAAGTTCAAAATAGGATATCTTTCCTTTTTTTTTGGTCCCGAGGCATTATGACATTTGCTTGCTGGTCTTCAAAATTGCATCCTTCTCTTCTTGATGACTGCTGCTGCATGTCTATCTCTTCAATTACTTCTGAATTTCTCTTCTTAAATTATATACTAGCCTGCTAGCTTTCAGTCATATTCTAGGCTATATTTTAAGGAACTATCAGTAATTTTGGAAGATTTGATATTGTAATGTACTGCTTGGTGACATCCTCTGGTTACTTTTGTTACCCAATTCAAACTTCATCTGCTAAAGCTTATCTAACTTTGCTCTCAAAAGTGTAGAGATTTGAGGAAAGTCTTTTGAGAGCAAAGTTGAGGGTTACAGACATTGCTTGTTTCCATATATGTACGTGACTAGCTTCTGGATTTTATGATGCTTGTTTTCTATATTTATGGGATTTGAGACCATAGCCACGTACTTAATGTTTCTTTGACCGCATCATGTATTTCTTCATGTATTTTTGTTGTGCCCAATAGTTGTTTGTGAATGAATTATGCAGTTATGGGTGTATTCATAGTGATCTTTTGACGTGTATTGCATTTATAGATGTATGCAAATGAACCTCCTTCGTAGAGGGAGGTATTTAGTTATAGATTCATGAGATTTTGCATGTGAGTAATTAGTAATTCCTATTTCTATGGATAAAACAATTGTTGATAGAATGTTTGGTGTTAAGATATTCTATACAAACGGGCTGCTATGTAACATCTTATGTATTTATGATGGTTTTTCCCCCCATAGAAACTGCCTTTAAAATAGGATGATTGTATGAAAACCACCTTCAAAGTTAAATTTAAGGGTTAATTGCAAATAGGCCCCATGTAGTGTCACCCAATTGCAAAGAGATTTTATGTAGTTCTATTTGTTGCAAATAGATCTCCTATAGTTCTACTTGTTGCCAATGGACCATCTTAGTGTTGGCCAAGCGTCAATATATCCTATTAGTGGAGTTTTACAAGTCTTAAAAAAGTTTTTTAAAAAAAAGCAATTGGCTATCTATTCTTACTAATAGAATTACATGGGGTTTATCTAGCCCCTCAAATATTTTTAATGATTTTTAAAGTAAAAACAAAATCCTTTAAAGGGTCTATTCGCAACAAGTAGAACTAGAGTATTTATTTGTGACAAATAGAATTACGCGGGTTTCTCTGCAGTTGGATGATATTATTTGGGGGGTTTTCGTAACTAACCCTTAAATTTATATAGAAAACATCTTGGAAGGGGCTTTCGCTTGCAATCAACCACATTGATTAAATATCAATTGGAAAAATTTTCAAAATACTCACTCGCTTAGTACATGAGTTTTTTAAGGGTATTTTGAGGATTTCAGTTAAAATTTCATTAAAAAAAACATGTTAGGATGATTGATTGCAACCAGAGCCTCCTTGAAAGTTAGTCATGTACAAATTAAGTTTTGAAGGTGATTTTCAAATAATTGCCCTATTTTAAAGTTGGTTTACGTGAAAGGTACACATTTAGGATTAAGGTTCAGAATACGTACAGTGCATTATACATAAGAATATCGCTTGAATCATATGCGACGAACTTACCCTCGGCGTGGTACGGCTCTATAGCGTGTATAGTATAATGACAACGTGTTGCTGAAGTTTACAAGGCACGGCTTCCTTCGAAGTGCGTGCTGCTGGTGATGGTTTGTGACAACATCTTCTCCGAATGTACAAACTAATACGTTACGTATAATAAACCCATGCGAAGCACGAAAGAAAAAGATGGTGGTAGTGATTTCTGATCCAAAGCAAATTATAAGATTTCTCTGATTTTTTAAGACTACCCTAACTTCTTTCCGGAAATTTTCTAGAAAAAGATAATTTATTTCTTTATCTAGAACCCATTTGGTTTTATACAGGAAGAAGAATCCTACCCTCCAAATTTCTCGGTTACAGATATGACGTAAACCCAAGCATGAAGCATAAAGAGTTGATGGCCCATAGCTTTCAAATACTAATCAAATAACAACGGTCCCCATCACTCACTAAAAAATTCAAACCATCGACACCAAAACAACAGCTCAGAGAACATAACATAAACAACCACACAACTGGCATAAAACCCACATCAACAATAATTTAATGAAAGAGATAAGCAAGCAGAAAGAAAATGTACTGTGTTCAAGAAAGTGGTTATTGGAAATTCTGCCGTCGGCAAGTCCCAACTTCTGTCACCATTTTTGAAAAATGAATTCAGGCCGGATAACCAAGCAACGGCGTCGAGTTCCAGAACAAAACCATCCTCATCGATGACAAGCTCGTCAAAGCCCAGATATGGGACACTGCAGCACAAGAACGCTACCGATCCATCACCACTGCTTACTACAGAGGTGCACTTGGCGCCCTGATCATCTACAATATCACCAATCCCGACACTTTCGAATGTGTCCCTCGCTGGCTTGATCAGCTCAGAGCTTATGCCGACCCTAGCACTGTTATCATGCTCGTCGGCAATAAGTACAACCTTGAGTTGCATTGTGCTGTATCAGTTAAATCTGGAAAAGATATTGCGGAGAAAGAGAGGTTACTGTTCTTGGAAACCTCAGCATCGGATGCAACCAATGTTGAGAAAGCATTTCTGATAGTTTTGGAGAGGATTTACCAGACGGTTAGTCGGAAAACGCTTCAGGGAAGTGAGGAACCGCCGCCGTTGGTGATCAAGTCTTCGCTTCAAGGGATGAAATTGGATGTGAAGGAGAACCAACAGAGATACGGGTGTTGTACACAGTAAGAACAGAGGTAGCATACAGTGAAGAAGCGTTACTGTTGTTGGAATAACAATGATACATTCATTCCCTGAAGAATAAGAGTGTTGCAAAGCAAAACAATATAATAGTAAGCATGTAAATATCCGTGGAGGAAAACTATTACATCTTTGATTTTTACACTGATCATGATTAGGACTTCTGGCATGAATGATTCCACCCCTTTTATCGTGTTTCCTGCTAAAGGAAAGAAATTGTAAGGACAAGCTAACAGAGACGACTCAATATACCATTTATAGAAGGGGTTAACTGTGGATAGATCACCTCTACTCATATTGTTGCAGACAGATCACCTGGATTCTCAACTCTGTTAGTTTTCCCTTTTAAATTCATTGTTTGTGACGATCATTATGCAAGTTTATAGCAAGTAAATCAGTTTACGAAGCTCGTATACTTCGATCCTTGAAGCCCAATCTTGACATGAAACTAAGAGGGACCAGGAGGTCTATCTATAACAATAGAAGTACGGGAGTCTATCCGTAATTAACCCCTTAATGGAACCATTTAGTCTTGTTCTTATCAAATTTCCCAAAGTGGTCGATATAAGCCACTTAGCCACATGGTAAGGTATATATGATAAACATGTGGAAGAATATTGACTTACTGGTAAATAAGCAGAAACTTTGTTTTTTTACTTCAGAAATCTCGGAAACTCATTTTTGGGTCTTCATGTTTACCCCTTCCTCTACCCCTGCGGCCTCCTCTGCCGCGACCTCTTCCTCTTCCCCTACCTCGTCCACGCCTAAAGAATGACTTCCCATGCTTCATTTCCACAAGAGAATGTAATAGCTCATCACATAGAATACATCCCTCATAGAGAGTAGTTCCATCACTTAGTGGAGTTGTCTTCTTGTTGAAGTCCACTTCAATTATGGTCGAATCACAGTCCGGGCACCTTTTACCCGTTGTGGAGATCCTATGTGCACCCTGAGGAAGAGAAACAATACAATTGCACACATTGCAGTAGAGCCTCCATTTGGGTGCACTTACAGGGTCAAGGACAAGGGTCCCACTGCACTCGGGGCAAGCACAAACACCTTGTGCTATCAAAGAATGGCGGCAAGTTGGGTGCGGGCAAAGGAAGCAGGGCATTCCAGCACCTTTGCCTAGTTTGCCTGCACTACTGAATTTTAGGGCACCAAAGACTTTATCGATCCCTTCAAATGGAGGGCTATTGTAACAATAGGGGCAGAGTGGGAAACACTTTCCATCTGGGCCAGCCATGGAGAAGAGGAGGAGCTCAAAGCCATCCAAAGGACATGTGATTTCCTTGTAAAGCTGAGGAAAATGACAACTGTTAGAAGAACTGTTAAAATGAATAACAAGTATCTACTTGCATCAGTAAGCTGGTTTCAAATTGCATTGCTTCAAAATAAAGTCGATCTATTTAAACAATCTAAAGAGA